TGTTAGATAAATATACTTTTGAATATTTAATATTATTATTATATAGCTTGAATTGAATTTGTTTATCTTTAACTAGTAAAATTTCTTTTTTTTCTGATTTTTTGTATTAAAATTAATAATAATAAAGATCTATTCTTTTTATTATACTTGATAAAGTAAGTAAGAGAAAGAAGTAAAATATATTTGTTATATCTTAAAGTAATTTTATATTGTATATTATAAGAGTGCCATTATTTATATAAACAAGTATTTTTAAAAAGAAATAGTATTTTTTAGAGACTCTGATTATTATTGAATTATAAAAAATTGTTTATAAAAGATAAGCTAAAATTTTGTCTTAATAAAATTCTTGTTTACTATAATTGAATTAATTAGTTATAATAAATTATAATTTTGAATTTATTGTTATAAAGTAGGTTAAGTATAATTAAGTTAATTTTAAAGAACTTAATATGTCCAAGAGCTTTTTTAAGATTAAAAAAATTTATTAAATTAAATGTTTTGAATATATCAAAAAAAATTATTTAAAATTTTTTGTTATTATTATTGGCAATATTAATATCTAAGATAATAATAAAGATAGGTTCTATAATATTATGATTTTATAATCTTATAAAGTTAAATTTTGATAAAATTTAATATTTTTTTTTTTTAGTAGAATGGCATTAGATGCACCGATTTTATTGAATAATCATTAATTTATACATATATATCAAATATCATCTATTGTTATTACAGCAGTTAAATATTAGCCTATCTACTTTATTACCCCAGCGATATCAATGCCACTCTTGAAGTGGATTTATATTTTTGGGGGGAACTTATTTAGGGGATGGAAATCCTACTACTAGTTTTAAACCATTCAACTTACTGATCCAATTTTTGTATTAGGACAGTGAATATTGCTAACTATTTTATAAAATTGCTTATTACATTATACCTTTTCGCTCACGCAGCTCATGCTTTGACAAGAGCCCCTGCTGTGATATATTCCCTAGTAAATTGCTTCAGTTTTAACTGCTGATTGGTTTTTAATTATCAAATCCAGAGGCTCTTATAGCCAAGTGGAGCATAACTTCTTAAAGAATTGTCTCTTTCAGGTGTCCCATCACTCTTTATTGAGAAGTTCCTTTAATCTCCTGGTAGACACTCCATACAGATCCGGTTAGCTTAAGCTGCTAAATCTAGAGGCATAAATGCCAAGCAGGACGCAACTTCTCATATAAACTGATGATCGGCATGCCTTACAAAAGTGGTGACAATACAATGATCTTCTTCAAAGCTTTCTTATTTACTAGCCAGCAGAGAGTTTGCTATATGGAATTGAATAAGATAGAGTATAGCCCAGTCTATATATCCAAATAAATGATTGTGATTGGTAGTTGATAAGGGTTGGATAAGATGGAGTACAGCCCAGTCTATACATCCAAATATGTGATGACATCTTTTGTTAGACGGCCATCATGATACCAATCAGACGATCTTCATACTACTACATCTTAACAGAAGATCACAATCTCAACATTCACTAAATTAGTGTGTGAAATAGCTTCTTATGAGAAACAGCAAATAATTGGCTACAGTGTCAGATACCATGTACAGTATATCTATTTAATTACCTTCACATAGGATTGAACTGGTATTTTGGGATCTGATCTGTGAAGCACTAACCACTGTGTTATGGACCTACAGGTCTAAAATTTAATATTTTATAATGATGTTTAATATCTTATTATTAATAATTTTGATAAAATATACTGTATATCTATAAGATTATATAACTAAACAATTTTTTTTGAAAATAAAGTAGTAGCAGATTGTTTTTTAAATTTTGAATTGAGTTTGATAATAAAACTTTATTAAAAAAAGTTTTTTGATATATTATCTAACATTAAGGTCTAAATAGTATTAAACTTTATAGTGAATAAAAATAATATTTGATACTTTATATTTGGATAGATTTAATAGAATTTTATTAATTTCTTATAGGGTAATTTCAAAAATTATATTGTCAAATATATTATTGAAATGTGATTTAAAGAAAAATATTTATTATTTTATTTAGAATTTAAATTAAATAATTTTGATTTCAATATTTTTTTTTGAAATAGATATAATAAGCTTATTAGGATTTTTATATAAATAAATATTATCTTCAAGAACAATAAATAGATCAAAAAAAGTTTTAAATTTTTTAAAACTTTTTTAAATATATTTTTATAATTTGGTTTGAAATTTTAAATAGTTATACTTGTAGCTTTTTTGAATTTCTTTTAAAATTATTTTATTTAACTTGGCAATTTTTTCTTTAATTAAAATATTTTCATAAGTTTTTAAGACTTTTGAGATATAAAAATTTATTTGAAATTTTTTTATATATTTTTGATTATAATAAATAAAAGTTTGATTATTGAAGTATTATTTTTGCAATTGATAATTGCTTTTTTAATAACTTTGATAGTATTTTTGTAAGGCTTTAAAGAATCTACTAATTTTGTAAAAACAGATTGATTTTTTTTTTGAAATATTGTTATTTATAGTCTTATAATAATAAAGTTTAATTGTTTCTATAAAAGAAATTATTTGAAAAGCAATTAATATTAATATTTTCTTAAAAAATGTTAATGTTTTCAAGAGTATTTTTGTTAAATCATTGATTTTTGCATTAAAAAAAATTTTATTGGTTTGTATTTTGAATCAATCTAAAATAGTAATAACTTGCTTATTATCTACAGTATAATTAAAGTAATTTAATATAGACTTTATAGTTTAAGATTTTATTAACAAGATTATTTAAAAGTTATATTTGACTTATACAAGAGGTGTTAATAGATATAATATATATAAAGAAAGTAAGCTTGTAAAGATATTTATATATTTGTTTTTTGTATAGTAGAGATTGTATATTAATATAAAAAGCTAAGATTAAATAAAAATTAAAATTATTAACAAGAATTAGATATTTTTTTGTTATGGTTCTTAATAAAATTTTTAGAGACTTGATAACTATTTCTAATAATTATATTGATTTTATATTAAATAGTATCAAATAATATAAATTTAACTTGAATTTAATTATAGAATTGTATATAATTTGACAATAATTTGATATGTTGAATAATTAAAATTTAATTAATAGTATATGCAATATATTTAAAATATTATATTAACACATATTTAAAAGATCAAATTCAAGTTTAATTAATAGAATTTTTTGAAATATTTTAAAACAAATATTTAATAATTATATATCTGTATTTATTTTAAAGCTTTTTGAATTATTTTTAATATAAAAAAAATTAAAAATTTTCTAATAAAATTTTCAATTTTTTTTTTATAGATTTCAAAGAATATGAATAATATTTTTTGAAGTTTTTTATTATTCTTATTTTAAAAGTAAACTAGGGTTAATCAAGTTTTAGAAGAGATTTTTAAATTTGAAAAAATAAATAAAAAAAAGTAAATAATATAATATAATTAAATCTATTTTGATGTTTTTTATAAATAATTATTTTCAAATATTTATCTATATTAGTAATAAAGATATTAAGAAGAGTATTGAAAAACTTAATTGCTTGACTTTTGAAAGATAAAAAAGAATTTTTAGAATTTTTAACTGTTTTTTTTTTGTACAAAATTTTTTGAATTTTCCTATATAATAGTTTTTATTAAATGCAAGATATATGAAAAATATTTTATTAATTTTGTTTTTTATTTTAACAAGTTCTTAGTATAGTATAGAATTATTTATTTCTACTAAGAAAAATAGAAGTTGATTATGTTTCCAGTACATTGAGGACGAATGATTCCTGCTGTCAATTTATAATAATTGGTATATATATATATAAGATGATTATGTTTTATAAGTTGGGTATTATGAAATAATGAACAATAAATTAATTATTCCAGTGCCTAAGCAAGAAAATGATGAAGTTGAAGGTATCATCAATTTGTATAGTAAATTTTCTGATAAGAACTAATTACCAATTATTTTTTTTTACTTTTTTTTAATGTTATAATTCCAATATCAAATTTCAAATCAGAATTGGATTTAAAGCTGAGCTTAAATAAAAACTCAAATGTGATATTGAAAATAACCTTTTTTTTTTTAAGCCTTACACGGGATATGTATATTCCGAGATAGTTTGGTATACTTTCAAGTTTATAATATTCTGTCGAATCTCAGGTTTCACTATCTCTAGTAATTGGTGAAGATAGATTTGAAACTATTTTCCTTGATACTTGTCTAATAATACTGGATATCACATTGATATTATGAGATTCCGGTTATCATCATTAATTTTCCATCTCAAATGCATCTCAAATGTTTAGCGAATTCTTCAGTGATAGTTGAGAAGTCAGCACCTGAAGTAACTTTGGTCGCTGATGTCATGTGTCTAGACACTAGCATTATTATTTTATTAATGATACAATAAAGTTCGAAATTTAAATTTTTAGATTTATAATATCAATGCAGAGTCCAATTTATTTAAACTACCAGACTTACCAGAAATTGTTTTTTTATAGGTATCGTTGTTCCTCCCAATTCTATGAAGAATATATTAATTGCTGTAAATGGAGAAAAAACCATTATTAATTTATCTAAATTATAATTATGGACAACCAAAATGATTTGTAAAATCAATATATAAAGAACTTGTACTTCTCTGCTGCTCAAGTTTAAAGTATCTTGAAATTGTGAACTACCGTAATCTCTCGAATAGAAAATTCGAATAATTATACAAGCGTAGTTCATGTAGATCTCAATTTTAGTAAAGGGTTTGATACAGCCCTCGTTGAAATTGTGCATTCATATCCCAACTTATAACACCTCAATATTCGTAATAATAAGGAAACAACGGATTTCTCCATTGAGATTGCGCTGTCATGTAATATTAAGAACCTAAATATTTTTTTTATAAATGCATTACCGAAATCTATTCACAGGGTTGTAAAATCATGCCATAGCTTAGAATTTCAGTACATTGGTGGATTAAAACATGTCAAGAACATACCAATACGAAAAAAATGCACACTTATGCACCAGTATTCGCTATCTTGATCTCGCATATTGCTGTAGTATTACTAATGATGTAATTTTTCTGATAACACAATCGTGTCTAGATTTGGAATGTCTCGAAATTGGTGAATGTGCGATATGGCCGTTTTTGATATACATTATTGTCAAAAAGCTTGAATATTTTTATATTAGTCCTTGTAGTATTTCAGATTTAGCTATTAAAATTGTAAGTTCAAGTATTAATATAAAATTTCTTAATATACAGTTATGTGTGGATATCAGCGAAAATGCAGTTAAAAAACTTAACCCGAATATTAAGGTAAAAGATATTTATCGATTACCTATGTAGCTCCGCCAAATAATATCATAGCTCTATATGTTTCCAGTTTGGCCCATCATATTTACCTCAACTAAGTACGTATAGAGCAGATAAATTATCATATAGCAGAAACCCTAAATCGAAGCAGTAATCATCTTCAAGAAAGGAAAACTATTTCATGATCCTTTGAACTAGATGAAGATGAATCAGTAATTGATCGAGAGAAATATGAATTTTTTACTCGTTACTTACCCTTTTTCTCATATATTATTGTCGTCACCAGCGAGTCTGTCGCTAAAACGACTCACTCTTCGCGTGACGATAATCCAAACCTTTGGATTACGGCAATAAATAAGGTAAGGCTTTAACTCCGAAGCGTAGCACTCGCTAATCTTTGCTTGACCGTTTCTTCAAGGCGCGTTCCACACAAGACAAAGGTAACAACGGTTTCTTTCTCTTAAAGTCTGTAACTTAATTACGTATAGCGTCGTTAATCGTTAGACTACTTTGAGGTGTATAAACATTGGGGGTCGCTTGTATTTATTGCGCAAAAGGAAGTAGAAGAGAAAGGCCCAAAACAAAATAATGTTTCTATTTATATGTATTTTTGACGTGTCCACCTGCCATTACCAAATTATTACATCATTATAACATCATTTCCCATTGTTACGCGACGCGTCCTGATTGTCGCGTTACCAACCAAATTATTCCTACAACAATGTATTATAACATGTGGTTTTGCTTTCGAATTTATAATATCTCAGTTTTTACTATCTTTATTAATTGGCGGAGAGATGAAGAATTTTAGTTATTTTTATCTGGTTAAAGATACAGCGTATAAATAATTGATATTACAAGATGGTATATGTAAAATGTAAAATTTATGCAGATTTTATTGATGAAATTCAGGAACAAAAACTACAAAGTTTCTCGACATATTAATCTCTGGACGATCTGAAAGAAATGCCTCGGAAAAACAAGGTTAATGGAGAGGATATAACGAATATCAAACAGTTTGTTCCTAGTAAGCTATCACATATCGTTAAAAAACAGAAGAGATTTTTATTGCATTGCAGAAGGATATATCAAGTAAGGAGCCCACGAGTCGAGTCGGTTATGCAATCAAGAGTGTTGAGGACCTTCTTTGCGTCACCGAGACTAAACTGCGTAATGTAAGGATTGGCTACGCTCAGAATTTACCAAACTAGAGAGTGCGTTCCAGACCAATAAGAAGAAACGGACGGTGGATCAGGAATTTAGTGATGATCATTTTGATTATCTCTACGGAATTGTAACAACAGATATGTAAAGAATCTATATTGTGGAAGTGAAATTTTATTCACGTAAATTTCTGATTACAGTATTGAGTTTATTTTTAGTCATGTAGTGGCATTTCATCATATATACTCCCGATGATTAGAAGAACAAATTTCCAAGCTTATAGTTGAGATGATACACTTAGATGGGAAAACATCAAACTTAAGAAAAAACCCATATTATATCTCGTAGTAATGTGACTACTACATCTAAATCAGATGATGATATCAAGGATATCAAATAATATTCAGTCTGCGAAGCAGAATACTCTGTATCTAATATGTCCTCTACTGAAACGGAAAATCTCAACGATACTCCTGAATCTGATATTTCTAACAACACTTCTGAATCCAATAATGGTTTTTTCGGAATTATTTCAAAATATAAATCAAGAAATGTGTCATTAGTACCATTGAAAAGCAATAAGTCGCAATGTTCTACATCTCCTATATCCACAGATTAGGGGATCCACGGAGTGAGAGTGCTACCACATCTAAGAAAATATTTGATTTTCTGGATAGAAAAGAAAAAGAAAAGGTTAAAATATGATAAAGAGAAACGAAATAATGAAGATCAGAATACTTCAGAAGATCCTATTAATCAGACACAAAGTACCATTTCTATAATTAAAAGGTTAAACAAGTTTTAATAGATGAGTTATCTACGTTTATTAATGAGAAAAACCTTTCGAATTCCATGCCTGATAGAAAATTCTTGAAAACATGTTATATGGAGATGATTAAACTCCAGGTTCTACATCACATTTGGCCCATTTATTCGACAAGGCTATTTACGTTGGTATTGTTATAGTGAGAAGTTCGAAAAAAAGGTAAGAGGCATTAGCTTTAAAAACGAATTTAACATTCAAATGGTGGCAGCACAAATTTATAATGTTAAATTAAAAAAAAACATCTGTTATTTCCTAAAGGAAAAAGACTTATATAAATAATTTTCCTATATAAAGAAAGTAATAATATATAGTATAATCTAGTACATATGGTATTATTGGTTCTCTGAAGATTATAATTATATAGTGTGAGACAATAATAATTGAAAAAAAAACAAAACTCATATTTTTATTAATAATTTAATAATTAATTTAATAATTAAATAAAAATAAAAACATACATATGTGTATTTGGAGATAGAAAGAATAAAAATATGTAAAAAAGTTTAATATATTTTTTTCAATTAGCTAGGCCTTGCCTAACATACTTTATTTAGTTTATATTTATATTTCTTGTACAAGAATTACTATATATAAGCTATTCTAGATATATGTTAAACTATATCAAATTTCTTTTATATTGGCTTGTTGCTACTGACTTACTTTTTAGATATATGTTAGGCTAACATGTCAAGGCTTTACTAGTGTTGTTATTATATAAAAATAAAAATAAAAATAAAATTGATTATGTTCTTTTTTGATCTAGTCAATTTTATAATAATTTTCATTACATAATTAGTATTTTATCTTGTTTGTTAATCCTCACTTATAGATTTGAAGATGTTATAGATTGACTAGTCTATTTGTTTTTTTGTTTTTTGTTTTTTTTTCTATCAATATTTGTATTTTTTTTCCAATATTGAAACCATTCATATTTTTGTATTTAGATCTTATAAAACTCTTCTGTTATTTTATTTATAACTATCTTAAGTATATTTTTCATTTTTGTTCTATTTAAATATTTATCTAGCTTCATTAAATCCTTGTAATTTTCTTTAATTATATATCTTAAGCTTTTTTTTGACTCATTAATATAAGTACCAATTGGTTGTACTAGTTGTGTTTCTTTTTTTTTTCTTTATTTTGTTTAATATTTCATTTTTCAAGATATTTATATATTTGTTCTAATCTGATTATCATAATATTAATGAAAATATGTTTTGTGTTTTCCTATTAATTATATTAGAGACATCTATTATCCTTGTACAAATTTGATATTTTTGTACTTAATTTGTTTTTTATTGATAGTTCATTATTAATAGTTTATATTTAAATACTCTGTTGTTATATTTTATTGACTAGTATTAATATTAATAATTTTGGATAATGACAAGCTGGTCCATATCTTTTTCCAGTCTATTTCATTTTTGTTTTCTAAATTTGAGTCATATTTTATACCTTTTTTATATGATCTATATACTTATATACTTGCTATTTTATTACTGTTTTATAAATTCATTAATCTTTATATTTAAATCATTTTTTTATTATTTAAATATATATCTCATGGAAAAAAAAACTCTTTCCTGAAAATCTCGCATTCAACAAAAAACTACCAAATAAGGAAACAAAATTCATCGTCAAAAAAAAAGCCAAGGACCTTGGGGGACCTTCCCCTCCCAAGGGTCATCCCACAAACCATGAGCACATTCTCCTTGATGTTTTAGTAATCAGCATCCAAACCCCACAAGCTGTCATCATTTACAAAAATACCAAAACTAATAAAATTACTGCCACCATACCTGCCCAGTCAGCTCGCCTTCCGAAGCTAGGAAACTGTCCAAAAGTTTGGTTGACACTTGTCCGCTCTATACAAAGTGAAGTAGAAAGTATTAAAATCATCAATGTTTCATTTGAAGATTACCAAAGAACAAGATTCTCAGAAAT